GTCTTCCCATTTTTTTCTTTTCCTCAAGTCACATTTTAATGCACCTTGTTTGCTAAACTTTCCATCTGCAAGAGAGTTGCAGTCGATTCAGAAATAGTAAAGTAACACAAACCAAGCATGACAAACCATGCTTAGACATGCTTTGAGACCAAAGCTTGAAGGGTCTTTCTGAACAGTCATGATAACAATAAAAGTCATTAATGGCTAAGAGAATTTGTTCCACTGGCTTAGTTGGAAACTGTCTGAGGGGGCACTCTTGCTACCTAATGGAAAGGGAGAAAAATGGAGAGGGAGTTCTATGGGGCAAAATCACTTTGTGCTGAAACACTATCACTAAAACAATGGCACTTAAAGCAGTCATTCACTTAAAGTCAACTCAGCGTCTTCTACACTGGGCTGTTTCTGTCCACTCTTTCCTCTGCTGTGAATTTTCAAGTGTTTGATGCAGGAGACTGCTATTTTCTTCAGGGGAATTTCTGCTGACTTTGTTCCTCTCTCACACAACTGAAAAATGTATTTAAGAAGTATACACCGTAACTGATTCAAAAACTTTAGCTGGTAAATGAAAATATTCATCACAACAATATATATAAATTGACCTGGTAATTAATCTTCTAGAAGTAATATTGATGGATCTCATTTATATTTCTCCACCAATAAGATAATACAAAAGTTTCTGAAACTCTCAGACAATTATGTTGTCTTCTGTTACAAGTTAACCCATTAAGCTACCATTGCGAAACACAATCATAATGAATGTAATGTAATGTAACCAAATTCTTGCAACATTTTTTAGTCCACATTTTTCCCATTGCTAATATTCATCTGCCTGGGAAAAGCTGAGGACAATAAAAAAAGATTCTTGTGATTTTGATTTGCCATGTCGATAGTCCTAATACAGCTTAAACAGTTTATACATTATACATTTAAAACAGATTATACAAATATCTGGATGATTTTGGGGCAACTGTAGCTTATCAACAGAAACCATTAATTCTTCGCTTTCTGACTTGTTACCAAATCCCAAATAAAATGTACTTATGCAGCAGCCAGCTGAGAAGTCCTGCCCATTGCCTGGAAATTTCTGTACCATGAATCACAAAGAATTCCCACAAAATTGAACTGCTCAAACACATGGAATAAGATTCAGCCACAGAAACCGTGCTACGACACATATATACCTATGGAAACTTTTCTAAATACAAAAGGATCTACTTGCTGAAGACCATAATCATCTAAGAATGCTCACTTTAGATCACACGTGAATAAAAACGTAGCCAAACCCACTCTGACTGACCCGAACAGTATAAACAGCTACACTAAACTCTGGAACAAAATCCTGCTTTGTTTTGCAACTGAACAAGCCACTGACAAAAATACAGGGATAAAGAAGTTGCCCCTTTACTAAGAGCTACTTGTCTGGTGGACTTTCATACTTGGGCGACCTACAAAACTTCTCATGGGTGATGGAAGGTAGAGATTATTCTGTTGGGAAGGAGAAGCATTTTGCAGCCTCTTGCTGCCCTAACTTTCACCCTAATGAGTTTTTCCCCCAGTTTAAGAAACTGTGAAATGTTCGTCTTTTGTAGTAGTTAATGGCTGTTCTAGCTGAGTAAACAGTAGCACCCAAAGCCTTTTCTTCTCCACCAGATAAAATCTGACCCCGTTCTTACAAAAAAAAAAAAAAAGTTTATAAAAAAGTTTATATTACCTTAGTATGCACGCCAATCTGAAACAGTGTAATGCAACTGCACCAAAATTTTAAAATAACCCAACACAAACAATAATATCGCATTCCTCTGCAGTTCCACCAGTACACTTCTGCTCAAAATGATACATAACCCCTATAGGTATTAATTTAAATTTTTATCGGGTTGCTCCTAGAGTTCCACTCAGTCTTCTGCAATGGCATGCAAGAGGCTACCATGAATACAAGCATATATTTCTATGGCAACAGTTTATATTTTAGGCCAGTCTTAGTTGAAATGCTTGCAGGAAAAAAAAAAAAAATTACACCTAACTAAACAAGATATCTGTTCCCTTTCTGTCTGTCCTGTCTGAAACAACAGAAATTTCTTCACTGTGATGACACAGATGCGATAAGAAGTAACATAATGTGATATAAGTTATGCCTAGAATTATGAGATTAAGTTAGCAGAAAATACGCACATTTTGACACAACATGGATATTATATAGACTTCCAATGATAGAAATATTATCACAGTTAGGCTTTATCAAAATGAATAAAATATTTAATTTTTTGTTATTCTTATTAATGCCATACAGCTAAACATATTTAACATATTTGCACCTCACTCTCCTTTAATATATCCCAAATCATCCCTTTTCTTTCTCTCATTTTTTTCTTTGGTGAGTGGGTTGAGGTTTTTCTATAAAAATTACATTGGAAGTGCTAAACATGCAAATAAGATAAACATCGTAATTCAAAGCATAGTAATTATATCATCTCAGAGAATTAGGTGATCTATGTGTCTTAAGGGTGAGAGCCTGCAAGATGGAAGAAAGAATCGTGTCATGTTAAAATCAGAAAAAGACATAGGAAGAGAAAGGGTCGTTTTGTTATTTCCCCCCAGCCCAGAGTGATAAATGCACATCTTCAACAGTTCAATTGAACGACATTTCTATTTAAGTATGACAATGAAATAGCACTTTAAGAAAAGTAAATGAGCAAAGTTACAAGTTTATGCTACTTCTAAATGATGACAGATCAAAACGACGTATATTTAGCATTATATTCCCTGGAATGTATGCATGCCTGATCTCTGTCAGTGATTTGACAACTTTAATTTACTATATCTTTTATCTTAACTCCCTTAACAGTGCTTGTAATGTAACTATGATTTTTTTTTTTTACCATGCTATGTATCCTTAATGTTCTCAGTTCTTCAATTTTGACACCACAATATTGTGGAGAAGGCAGCAAGACTTACGTAGTCATCTAGGGGTGCACTAGCTCATTCTTAAATGTTTTTTTTTTAATTATGCCTAAATAAAATCGATGGCCTCCTGAGGACAGAACTACTGTCTCACATGTAAATGCATTTTCCTTTTCTCCTCAATCTGGTAGATTGCACAAAGCACAACTAGTGCCTCTACTGCCATCACTTTGTTTTACACAGAATGTCCTGGCAGAACAATCAGTCTAACAAAGAAGCAAGGGGGATAAAGATGGGCCCTCAAAATAGGAACGGTTTGTATAGTCAGCCAGGACATCCCATTTTCAAAGCTACACAATCAAACTTCAAGATATTTTCTAGGAGACTGCAGACCTTTCCACAGTGACAAAGGATTCTGGAGGAATGATCTATTGCCCACGTTTAATACTTCATGAACACCCGGAATCAGGCTTCTACCTCGTTTTCAAGAGTGTGCCTATCTATTGCAATGTGTATGTATGTAAGTCTGTTTTCTCCTAACATATCCCAAATGCGGGCATTTTTTCTATAAAGCAAACCGAATCAGTATTTGAAGTTCAGCAAGTCCCTTACAGTGTTATACTCTTTAAAATGAATCTCTGCCTGGAGAAAGCCAGAAGCAACGTGACTGAAATTCTCCATATCTCCTCTGGGACTGGAGCTGTGAGTTACAAGTGATCTGCAGGGGCTTTTGCCTTTACAGGTTTTACTGAGTTTAGGGGCACTTTCCCTTACAGGGATGGGATCAAATACGAGCTGCCTGAAGTCCAGCTGCAGCACTGCGCCGTGAGTCGCTTTTTTTTTTGCTTTTTTTTTTTTTTTTTTTTTTCCAGCGTTTAGTATCAAAGGGTGCAGCTAACCCAGAGCAGGGATGGGAAAGTCCCCTCGCTAATTAGTTTTCCCACTCGCAGCAGCTGCTGGAGCCCAGCCGCCCGCAGCAGCCCCGCCTCGCCGGCAGTCCGGCAAGCTGCCTCCGGGCCTGAAGTGCTGACCGGTGAAATCCGGCTCCTGCTTAATGAGACCGAGCTAGGCAGAGTCAATTAAATCAAATTCCCACTAACATCCCTAATATATCTGCAGTGTGTGTGCAGCAGAGGCGGCGGCAGCAGCGAGAGATTCACCGTATTAATAAAGGGATTCACTGCCGCATTACCAAAAAAAAAAAAAAAAAAAAAGGCGAGGGAGAGGGAAGGAGGCAGGAAACTTCTGTGTGTTATTTACACCGGGGAAGGGGTGAGGGAAGGGTGTTTGTGCCTCTGAGTGTGAATGAATGAGAGGAAGGGACAAGAGGAAGGGAGGGAAGGAGGGAGAGAGAGAGGGAAACACACACAGAGAGCACTGAAAGGAGGCTCTGTCCCCTAAACCCAAATAGCCCACTTGCAAGAACTGATGCTGGAAAAATGGTAAGGACCCGGAGTTGAAAACATTTTCACTTTAATACTGAAAAAATATGCCATTATAAAATCCTCGAATAGAATTAGTAATTTTTACTTGCTTCCTCAGTTCTGGTTTCCTCAAGTTATAGTAAGATTTACAACAGCACAGAATTTTCTACCATTAAACTTTGCAGCCTAAGCACTAGAGTGACATTAATTGGTCATGCTTAACTGCCTTGGATTTTTTTTTTGTATGTTTACACTGTTATCATAATAGAAATCAAGGGTACTAATTTTTACATTCAGATGGAAAGGCAATACTGAATATGTATACTGAAAAAGCAAAAAAGGAAAAAAAGAAACACAACCTACCATCAACAAAGCAAATATCTCCCAGCAAAGTAATTCCCTCCTCAAAAAAAAAAAAAAAATCCAATGAGAATATTCATGCAACTATGTCTTAAATAAAACCTTTACAATTTTTTCCACAGTAAAAGTACGATCTCTACTGCCTATTGATCACACAAAAATGGCGAAATGGCACTTTTTATTATCATACTGTATTTCGTATATAGAAGGTTTGATACGAAGGGACTTATCAGGTAAGAGGGATGATGGTGTGAACTAGACGCTGCTTCCAGTTGGGGGCTGGAGCGTCCCTGGGGTGCGTTGTATCCATGCGAGCCATTTTTTTTTTTTGTCCATTTGTCTGTTTATTTCGGAGTCGGAGTCATTTATTTACATTACATTCATGCCTTCGTGCAACTTTCCACTCCTGCTTTGCTGTCAGGAGGAGGCCGACACCAGCCTTTCCTCCGTCCCCCTCCTCTTCCCGGCCTCTCGGAGAGGAGTCGGTCCATAAGGGAAGAGGGCAAAAAAGCAAAACAAACCCCAACACAATAGAACAAAAGCCCAACAAACCCAGGAGCCGAGTCTCGCCCCGCCGGAGCCGAAGGAAGCGGGTCCTCGCTTGTCCCGGCAGCGCACGGGAGGAGGTTGCGCCCACCACGCCGGGCTGCGTGGAGCTGCAGGGGTGTGCCCCGGTGCCAGGCTCCCCCCCCACACCAGGCCTCGGTGCTTGCTATGGGGGTCGTGAGGAGAGGCGTGCGTGCGTGTGTTTTGTTTCTCAGCAAAGGTAGTCGAGGTGCGGAGCCATCCCACTGGCCTGAGCGCGAAGGGCCGGTCCCGGGTGGCGGCCCCCCTTGGTCCCGCCCGCTGCCTCAGTCTGACAGGGAGTGGGAGCCGCAGTCGTAAACCCTGTGGGCCCCGTCGGTGCTGTAGGGCCCGTTGTGCCAGTAGGACGAGTCGCAGACCGTCTGCAAGGAGTTGATTTCAGATGCAGAGGAGTTGGCGTCCCTCCTCTTGGACCGCTTTCTGTTCCTCAGGATGAACACCAGCATGCCAACCACCGTGAAGGCAGAGGTCACAAAAACCAGCAGGAGCCCTGGCACCAGCACCGAAATAGAGACCCGGCTGGTCTCCAAGTAGGAGTTGGAGTGAGTACCTGTCTCTGTCAACCCAGTGCTGGTTTTGTTAGGAGAAGTTAATGTGGGCGAGATTTTTAACTGAGGGCAAATCACATCGTTGGAGAGAGACTCGAAATCCTCCTTGAAGAAATCTTCAGGGGACTCGCACCTCAGGTCGCTCATAATCACCTTGGGGCGCAGCATCTCCGCCCACTGTTTGAAAGGCACGATAGGGCAAGTACAGTCCCACGGGTTGCCATGCAGGTCGATCTGGGTGATGGAGGTGAGCTGGTCCAACACCCCCACCACCGGGAGGTACATGAAATAATTGTTGTGTATGCTCAGCTTCGAAAGTGAGACTCCAGCGAACACGTCTACCGGAAGAGACCTCAGCAGGTTGTTGTTGAGGATGAGGACTCTCAGTTTGGGCATCACATTGAAGGTGCCGGGCATGATCAGCTGGATCCCATTAAACTCCACATTCAGATACTCCAGGTTTTGCAGCCCAGCAAATTTCTCCCGGGACAGGGTGTCTAAGTAGTTGCTATCCATGTAAAGCCATCGAAGATCGAAGAGGTTCTTGAAGGTGTTGTTCTCCACGGTGGCGATGTTGTTGTTGCCCAGATCGAGTAAATTAAGTTTCCGGTAATCCAGAAAGTGGGATTTCCTGATGGTGTGTATTTTGTTGTCTCTAAGAAACAGCTCCTGCACATTGGACGGCTTGGGCTTCAAATCTACCAAGCTGCTCACATTCCTGTCATTGCAATTAACCTTTAAACCTGAGCCAGGGATCTGATCACAGCTGCAGATCTGCGGGCAGGACACGGTAGCCGGTAGCTTGCTCTTGGCACTAACTGTCGACACGGCAGCAGTGGGTCTGGTCTTGATTTGCCAATTGACAGGAATCTTTGTACCTCCGTTTGGACCAGATCCTGGCGTGGCAGGGTCTTCTTTGCCATGTATTTTAAAGGGGGTTGGAATGGGACCAGGATCGCAGGTTTCTTCTTCGGCAGGGGGAGCAGCTAGGCTAGAATCCACTCTGTTCTTTTTGCACAGCTCTTGCTCTGTGGTCTCATTTAAATCTTTGCCCTGCAACCTAGTGGGAGCCTCACAAATCACTCTGCCGATCAAAGCATTTTTGGGTATGTTTTCCAGCCATTCCTTCAATGACAGCAGATCGCAAGTGCAGTCCCAGGGGTTATCCTCTAGCAGGATTTCAGCAATGCCTGGGATCTGCTCCAGGACCTCCTCATAAGGCAAGGTTTTAAGACGGTTTCCCCGGAGGTCGAGGTGGGTGATCGGCACATACTGAAACACATTGGGGGGCAAGGTGCTGATGAGATTGTCATTTAAAATCAGCACCTCTAGCTTGTTTAAGTCCCTAAATGCTCCCGGGTCAATATCCCGCAATAGATTAAAATCTGCCTGGAGGTATTCCAGATCGTCCAGCCCCAGGAAAGTCTGCTTCCTGAATGATTTGATCTTGTTGTTGTTTATGTGCAAGCGTTTCACCAGCTGCAGCCCAAGGAAAGCCCCAGGAACAATCTCATGCAAACCGTTGTTTTCCATGTGCAAACTGACTGCATTGTAAAAGTTAGCAAACTCATTAGGGAAAAGTCGAGTCAGGGAATTGCCATGCAGGAATAAATGGTAAAACTGGGAAGTTGGGGCGGTGAAATGTTGCAGGCTGGTAAATCCCTTTTTCTCACAGTCTACGTGCAAATCCCCTTCTATCTCGTTGCAGGCACAGATCTTCTCTTTGCAAACGTCCCCTGTAACGTTTCCAGCAGCAAAACAAAGAGACGTCTCCAGCAACAGAATCCAAAGCAGCATTTTTAAACCGAGCAATTCATTCCCGATCTCATCACAAAGTAACAGCAACCATCCTCCTCACACGGAAAGCAATTCCAGTTCATTCAATACATGGAATGTCCGAACCAGCACCAAAGGGGGAGAAAAAAAAAAAATATGTGGGGAGAGGGAGCAGGGAGGGTCGGCGGAGGGGGGGGACTCTTTCTTTCCTCCTCTCTCCCTCTCTCCCCCCCCCACGTACAACCGCAACAGCCCAGATTCCAGTCAATAATTATATCCACAAACTCTCCAGGCACGTACTGCAAGGCACAAAAAAAAAAAAAAAGGCCAAAAAACAATCCCCCTCCTCGATCCCCCTCCCTGACGCCTGCCGGGCGGCTAAGTGGAGGTTTGCCGGCCGGGTTGGCTCACCGGCGCGGGAACGGTGCTGCCTGCCACCGGCCGCCGCTGCATGTTAGGGAGGCGCAGGCGGAGAGCGCGGCGCTGGCCGCGGAGGTGCCGCTGCGCGCGGCTCCGCGCCGGACTGAC